CTATGGATGTAATTTTCTAGTTTTTTTATTTTTTACATATCCCTTATGCTCATTTAAATGGTATTTTAAATTACGTTTTGTCTGACCAATGTAAATACTTCCATATTCACATTCTATTTTATATATTCCATTTTTTTCAGTTAACTGTATTTCATCTTTCGTAGTACCTAACATTTGATTCATCTTATTTATCAGTTTGAATATAGGGTAAAATATCTGTTGTTTTTTTTAACACTTTAAATAAACTAGTAGTTAAACCTGGAACATATGGTAAAATTAAGCCTTCCTTTCTAATTTCTTCATAACTAGGTTTTAAAGTACTAATTTGATCAATTATTATAGCATTAGTGAATTTCTTAACTGCCATATCTATAATATTTGGATTAAAACCTCTTTTGACTGCTATATATTTAATTAATAACAATTCGTTTTTTAAATCCTTTTGGTTAGTCCATATCTTCAAAACTCTATTAACATAACTATAAAATGTAGACATTTTTTGTGACCAAGTATGACATGATTCTTGGTGTGGGGACATAAGAACAGAAAAATGTTTCCGGTAAACTGATGTTTCTAAATTACCTTGTACATTCCTTTTCACCAATACATCTAGAAAAGGCAAGCTATTATTTATGATTGCAGTTGGTATATTCTGTTTAATGAGTACAAATGGATGGTGTAGCCATGAGGTTTTGATGGCTTTTCAAGCATAAATAATTGTAGAATACCATAAATAGATACTAAAATACTTCTAGTTGAACATCAGGTCTGCAGAAAGGCATCACATACACACACATACATGCATAATTGTTTCTTTCAGTAATTCTTATTCAGTAATTAGTTTTCGAACTATGGATTGAAGGAAATCATTAAAGTTGTGATCCACAATACACGCATTCCTTTGCATCAGTGAGGAAGTTCTTTTCTGTATTTCTTTTTAATTTTAATTTGCAACGATGCATTTGAAATTGTTGACTGAATGGTGGATATCAATAACATCTAGGTAACTCTGATAATAAATATTACTACTAAATATATCTAAAAATATTTTTTGTGCACTTACAACTTAAAATGTACATTTTTCAAGAATTTATTATTTTTTATAGAATTTATTTCTTCCACATAAATTATATAAAAAAGAATCTAAACTTCTGAGAAGAAAAACAAAAGAATGGATAAAGGGTTGAGAGTCAAACTTCACTACATAATTCTTTCACTCACATAAGTACCTAAACATTTAAAACTGTTTACTTACTCTTCTACATGAGTATCTTTTTGTTGGATAAATTTCTCTTCCAAAGGTGGAACCTCTTCTACTCGTTGATGGGATTCTTCTATTATGCAAGTTTCTGTACATATATTCACATGAAAATTTTCATTTTTTAATTTTGTAAATGGTCATTTAGTAAAATTTATGAAAAATCAGCAGAGTGCTTTTGCATCCTCTTTTAGTATTTGTACAATAACTTAAAAATAAAAGGAATAATCATTCAACTCATTTCAAAGAACCTCAAACCATAAGGTCAAAATAACTATTAAACTGTCACTGGAATTGTAATTCTAAAACAGAACAGTTCTGAAATTATTTTAGTTGAAATGTGATACAACTATCTATATTAAATGACTCTGAATTTTATATAAACACTGAATTAACTCTGAAATAATTGTTACATGTTTGTGCAACTTTGAATTCATTGTTCTTGTATTTGCTGAGTTTGTTTGTTTGTTTTTTTTTATTCTGTGCAAAACTACACGAGGGCTATCTGCGCTAGCCATCCCTAATTTAACAGTGAAAGACTAGAGGGAAGGCAGCTAGTCATCACAACCCACCACCAATTCTTGGGCTACTCTTTTACCAACGAATAGTGGGATTGACTGTCACATTTTAACGCCCCCACGGCTGAAAGGGCAAGCATGTTTGGTGTGACAGGGATTCTACCCTCAGATTGCGAGTCGAGCGCCCTAACCACCTGGCCATGCTGGGCCACATTTGCTGAGAGTAAAAAATGACAGTTCTTTACTTAACATTTGACTACATTTTGTTATAAGTCAAATTATTTGCAGTCTTCACCCTGTGAATTACAATGGTATTACAGCTACTAACATAGTTTACCCATTTTAATTTCTAGTGCATGTAATACAAAATTACAAGACCTTGAAACAAAACCTCATGGGAATGTCGTTAACCAAATCTGATTTATAACAATGTTGCATAGTCGATTAAAAAAAATAGCTTTCATATTTGATCTTGATACTATCTTAATTTTTTCAAAATCTTGAAATAATTATTGTTTTGCATAAAGTTTGATGTATATGGCATTTGATAAAAAAGGGATTTAAAGCATTTTAAGAAAATTCTTTCTACATAAACCAAAACAAGTTTGCACTAAGATTCATAAAAAATAACACATCCAAGTGAAGAGGACTGTAATGTGACTGAGAAAATGAAGAAAAATTATCACTTAATAAAATAGAATGTTATAATCACACAAATTTTAGTAAATACATACAAGTTAAAAACAGTATTCTCACCACATTCTGCCCATATTAATATTTATGATTCAATGAACGGATAACTAGAGCCCTAAGTATCACAGAAATACAGATAGAGATAATCTGATTGAATGGATATTTATGTATTGGATGTTGAAGATATCAACTATTAATTCTACCTTATGTTGCTGATTTAGCAAAGGTTCATGATAGAGGAGAGTAAATACCAGATACAATATTTAGATATGAATTTCAGAGGTTCTAGAGGTTATGCAAATACAATCTGTAAATTGTAAAGTAAATAAAAATATTTTTATTCTTCACATTAACATCAACTTTCAATGCAACATGTCAGTCTGAGTAAGACTGATGATGTCATTTCAAGGACACATTTTAAGTACAAATACTTTTTAACACATCTGATTTTTTTGTGTACGACAGACTTGTGCATTTTATTAAAATCTTGCCACATGTGAAGATAAACGTCATAAATTTAGAATTATAGTCAACATTGCTTCTCCAATACAGGATCAGTCCAATGGATCCCATGCACATTTGGTTAAGCGAGCTGATTCATTCTAAATGCAATACAAATAACTCATAATGTGCAAGCATGAAAAACCAAGTTTATATTCTGGGATTTTGTATATACACAACACCAAACCTCATGTATTTGAAGAGGATCTGTATTTTCATGCTTAACAGGTTATAACTTCAGGATCAATGGTGATAATATGAAGAAGAATAATAACAGTATAAAAACGTAAGTTAGGCCAACTTAAAATTACAAGAAAATACTAAGTGTCAAATGAAATTTGAGACCATATTTAACCATATAATTACTAATGTTTTCCATATTGACCCCTCAAGTTTTTTAAACAGTTTGTACACCAAATTGTTTACAGGTCTGTGATGTTAGTTAGTGGTCCTTAATAACATATGAGTTCCTACAAGTAAAATTCAAAACAAAAATACCATTACTACAACAGTCTCCTATGTATTTTATATACAAAATGAGTGTTTTACTCAATTAATTGATCAGTTCTTTACACTGAGTGCTATAACATACAAAAAAATATAAATTTATTCAATATGTGGGCCCCACTAGTAATGAGAGGTAAAGAAAGAAGTCAGTAATTTGAGGACTAGAAAAGATTAAATTCTACTACTAGGAATGAGTGGTCAACTTCTACTCTACTTCTTCTACTTCTACAAAGGTAATACTTATAGAAATACAGCCATTAAAAATTATTGGATACAAAAGTAAAAGAGTATTTGGAACAGCAGTCATATTAGACATAAACAGACAGAATCAATAAAGCAAAAAATAAAAAGTTCAATTTACTATTACAATTTCAAAACCAAAATCAATGTTAAAACATCAAATCAAACACTATGTTCAAATTTTTTTTAGAGATTATTTACATGTTCCCGTGAATTGATTGAAGTAACCTGAAATTATAACTATACATCAGCTCATTACTAAACCTATTTCTTCACTGCTTATTTCACCTCCCAAAATACTTTTGTGTTGTAGGTACACATATGAATTGAAAAAAACAAAAGAAAAACTAGTATCCGTGTGACGATGAAAATGTCACTAAAATAAAAAGAGACCAAAAGTTTGGTGCTCATATTACAATTTTACAGGATTTCATTTCCATGCTAAATACAGATGTAATAAAACATCTTTGAGCTAAGACCGAAACTGGACAAAATTGGCCTGTTTTGGAAAACACTGTACAAAAACAATATTTTTTATAAATCCTTTATAGTTTCACAGTCAAAGAACATTTCAATTGATATTATAATATCAATACATAATGACTGAAAATTACCAGTTTTTGAATCATCAGCATTGCTGGTTGATGTTTCTTTACCCTCCACTGGCATAGTAGAAACTCCAAGACTATTCAATTTAAAAGAATCATAGCATAATTATATACTCAACAAAGTTTTTATAACAAATATTTGTAAAATTACAAAAACAATATACTTAATGCCTATCTATGCTGCAGATACTCAATTTTATAATTCTACTAGTTATCTACTTGTATATAATATTTGCATTTATAATTTTTAAAAATGTTATGAGGATGAAGAATGCTTAATGCATAAGCTCAGACACTGAACAGTGGATGGAGAAGATAGCCTTTTCGATTCTCTGTGTATTCAATCCCAGATACTCACAAGACAGACAGGTAATAATGGACTTTTCAGTAGCTTTTATTTAAATATCATTTCTTAAGCTGTTTGTTCAGTACTGTCAAAAATAATTCAATAGTTTAAATTGTGTAAGTTGGCTGTTAAAATGAATGTTGGTTTACTTATATTTCTATAATTTCCAATGTCTATGCTTTTTTATGGATTTCAACCGTAAATGCAATGTTTTTTCATTGTTAATATAGTTATGATCAAGAAACTCCGAAGAGTTAATAAATAGGCTGAATTAAATCTAAAACATTTATGGCAAGAATAACAAAATACTTTTTGTTATCTCTAATTCACTCCAGTTACTCTAGAATGTTTCTGAATATTGGAATTATGTATAGTTAATTCACTCAAAACTGACTTTACATCAACTGCTAATTATATTCCATAAATAGCAAACACAAGCAAATACCTGTTACTGCTGCTACTGCTACTACTCCCTGGTGGGTCCTGTTCATGACTTCCACCATTGTCTTCTTCTTCCCCATCATCTTTTTTTTTACCATCTCTATGATCCCCTCCATTATTTCCATTTCCCCCACTTCCTGAAGCATTTCCTGCTGACCCTTGGTTTTCATTATTAGCTGTATTATTATTATTATGGATGTTTTCATTGGTTTGGCTCTCTGTAGTACCATTACCAGTGTCAGCCGAACTCCCTATTTTTAAAAGTAAAAGACCAAAGTGTTGTAGCATTCATAAAAATATTTGTTAAAAACTCTATCTTTGATAATAAGTAGATATTTTCTGCAGGGTATTTTGAGAAATATTTTCCTCAAACAGTGACATAATTAGTATATACGTGTTAAAGATTTATTTTCTTTTTCAAAACCCCATTTGTCTTTACAGTTGATAAACAAATAATTTATAAATTTATGTGAAAAGTAATAAATGTTAAGCTTATAAACACCAAACTAATAATTTTGTATCTCTCATATTTAAACAGTTACACTTAAATAGATTAAATAAACTCAATTACAACCTGGTTTAGACTAAGGTTGATGATCTTCTACATCTAAGTAGTGTATGTCATCAATTAAAATTTATGAAAGAAAAAGATAAAATAGAAAACATAAATTGACTTCAGGAATGTTTAAAGAAAAGTTTTAATAAATTTGTTTAAAGTAAATGCTATTAACATTATTTAGAGGGATTTATATAACTAATATATATACATATGTTAACTGTAATTTAAAAAGAGAAACAAAAGATTACCGAAACAATGGTAGTAAGCTTCTCAACATTAACATTTGCTATATTTCTTACTTAAGGAACCTAGAAATGTATACAAGTTCAAAGATTTTGGAAAGTAAAATGTTTTTCATATAAACCTATTTTATCAATCCTAGGAATTATCATAGATTTCTTACTATCAATATAAGAGTTAAAAAGCAACATCAGAGATATATTTGAAGATATTAAATAAAGCAGACAAATTCCTGGATTAATTGTTTAATTAGCTGCTTTCTAAATTACTTTTTATTAATGAACTCTGGATTGTAGGATTCCAAATGACTGCTTTAATGTGTGTGCTTTTGTAATCAACTACGTTTATAAACATGGAAGTAGAACTGCGCTAACAAATTATGAATCAGTTTCCTAAACCTGTATCATATATAAATTTTTACAGCAGTTAAATTATGTTATATAATCTCAAAACTTCCCTGCAACAAGGTATTAGATCTTTACATTCATGTAAGGTTCAGGCCTTAAAATATAGTATAGGATTTTGTTCTCTTCTTAAAAGAACCTCAAAGAGGTTTAATAAGCTGGATTTAAGTAGTGAGTTATGAGAAGTTAAAAATTTATGAACAAATGTTTTGTTACAACAGGAAGGTTTTATACAACTAAAGCTTTACTTGTATGTACAGCCCTTAATTATTTTCTGCATACTCTTATTCTTTTGACTCAATGGGTGTATCATAAATCAGACAACATTTATAAAATATTTGGGTATCTACATCACCAAATTCATATGGTTAATTCACTTTTAACTTTTTTTAGCATTAAAATCTAAGTAGGTTTCTACTTTAAGAAAAACTTCTCCTTATGATTCTCTAATCAGACATACCATAAACTACAGTTCTACAGCATTGGATTTAACTTTAAAATACCAAACACAGCAAGTTCAGCAACTAGGCAAAAACTTAGTTTCATGCCATTGGATTCTTGCAAAATAATTAAGTAAACTACTGATCTATAGGATTCTCTTTTAAGTTATGAAATACAGAAACTAAGCAAAAGTTAATTTCATCCTGTTGGATTCTTGCTAAATAATTACATCTCTAATAATAAATCATTTGACTTTGAAAAAATCCTTTACAGTGGAAACACATTAATTTTTTACAACTGTAAATACAAAGTTTCTTTTGTTGTACTTAGATGTGTTCTAAGTATTACTTATACCTCAAGGCATTGTAACACAGGCTTTTTTACCCCCCTACTAAAATTTTCTTGAAACTTGTTTTGTACTGTTTTCACTTGAGTTGTTTTTCTATCATCTTTAAATGTTATTTAAGATAATGTGATCTGCTTTAGATAGCAGATTATTGTGGTTTTATAATAATATTATGCTTTTGCCAAAGACTGGGTGCTTTCAATTGAAAACATGTACATATGAGACATATTTTACAAAAGTATACACACAGGTATCCTTGAGATAAGGGTGTGTAAATTTGTACTTCCTCTCTCTACCTTCTCTTTTGTTGTGTATGCCTAATTTTTTTTATTAAAAAAAAATTATCAAAATCTTTAACAATTTTTATTTTTTCAATAAAATTTATCATACACAGAAATTATAAAAAGTTTTTATAATACTGTATGTAGAAACTGTTTGACTTAAGCCATAGTAATAAACAATAGTTTACTTCTGTAGTGATAAAATAATTACAGATGTACATTTGTCTCTTCAATTTTATATTAAAGGTAAGGGATATAATTTCAGAAAAAAGAAATAATAATTACAAAACAACAACAGAATATACTACCAGAAGTTTTAACAAACCCACTTGGCATACATACCTATATTAAATATATTTACATTTATCCTTAAGTCTGCTGTATTTTAAAATTTCTACTGAGTTAGTGAGTTCTTCATTCTAGTTAAAAGAATAAACTTGTAAAAAGAATACAAAATCTAATTTGTGTTTTAGTTTTATATTACAGAATACCAGTCTATGACATACTGCATTATGTTTTCACCTTCTCTCATTAAATTATTTTAATGATGACAAACACATACTTTGCACAACCTAACCCTCGAAAATTGAATATTGGAGGTAAGTATCTATCAGCCAATAACTTGTCCCAATGGAACTCAAAGGCCAGGCATGTCCTAGTGGTTAGCATACCAGACTGTAAATTTGGGGATTCCTGGTTTGCCTTCTGTTGCTGCAACAATATGCTTTGTTTATTGATCTGGGTACATAAAAAGAAATAAACTGCATCCACTGAAAAATGCTATTGGAAATTATATTAACAGTTATTTCCCATGACAGACACAATGCTTTTATGAGTCATTGTGTCTCTGGCCTTGATTTTGACAAGGTTAAAAACAATGGTGTTCAAACCACCAAGCATAATGCACCACTATTTTTTGCAAAAACTTTGTTTCGCAAATCAGAGTTTATTTCTGATCAACAAGCACAGGAAACTGTTCATGGTAAGATACAGCACTTAGTAGTGCATGGTAGTTGTAACGAAAGCCACTTAAAAAGTCAGGAACATAATTATACAGCAAAATACTATGTGAACATTGAACAAAGAAAAAACTGGGGAAGTTTGATTAGTTATACTACTATGGATGGATTTTTGAATAAATTTAGGGCTAGTTTTTAATTTTTTGAAATTAATATAAAAATCATTTCTATAACTAAAAGTTTGAAATAAGTATCACATCTACAACTGCACAGGGAGAATGTGTGTGTTTACAATTTGACACTGGTATGTAAAATCAAATAACACCACAAAAAAACAATAGCCAATTGATTCCTATTCCAAAAAAACAATCATCTCTTGTATCCAAACATTACCAATATTTTAAGTTTGGACTACAAAGGAGTGTTCATGTTAACTTTAATTTTATGCCACTTTTGAGGCAACACAACTTGCCAATTTTCATGGGTTTTTGAGAAAAGAAATTACCATTTAAATGTTGAGATGACATGGTTTTTGGGGTGAAAGCTCATCAAGACAACAAGATAACTGCTCTAAAATGCAGACAATATTGCATTTCTGTATTAATTAATACCCCACATACTACCATTAATGTAATTATTTTGCATACCAAATGTTTGATGTTATCACAGTATCTATATATTCAGAATATGGGTGTTTGATTGAGTAGAATAATGAAGGTTGGGGGAAGGCTTTCAGTATCTCAATCATTCAGAGATCCATATTCTGAAGATATAGTTAATAATGTGTGATATATGGATGTCCCAGCTGGGAAAAAGAATGCATTTTAAACCTCAAAAAATCAACAAATGATATAAAATCAGGTGAGTAATTATCAAATGATACATTTCACACAAGTTTGGACTTCAGATTTGGAATATACTTGGTCCAAAAAAATTTCTGTGTTTAAACATGAATGAGAATGATGCTAAGACATATTAAAGCCAAATATTAGTAAAGATTTCACAATCTCAATGGATTCCAGAGATTATAACATAGTGCAGGATTACAGTATTTTCTGTCATTGAGTGATTATCTTGTAGTCTTCAAGTCTTCACAATATACACTACACTATTCTAACATTGAAGAACTCAGGTCTTAAGGTTACTTTCTGAAGGCACTATCAAATAGTTACTAGTTATTTTTTTCCTGCCTTATGACTTGCAACAATATTTATTATTTTATAAAATTAACTAACTGGATCATGACTAATTATTTCATGCATTAAATATTTATAAGTTTATATATGTCCCATTTATTTGTATAAATCTTCTGTGTCAATTTTGTTTAATTACATTTAACAGTGCTTTTAACTATTTGAGAGTTAAAAGATGCTAAATTTGGGTAAAAATTGGTGTATACAGTACCCTACTGCTGATGGTCACCCTATACTAAAAATACACATTTTATTATTGAAAGTTATTTTTGAAATACCAAAAAATGGCAAAGCGTTAGAAATTAATAGGCCTAGCATTAGTGTAAATCACAGACAAGTTAAGAGGAATATGGAAAAAAACATGCTATGTCAATTATTAAAGAGCAACCACTTGGGCTCAACATTTCGAACACTGCTAGCAAAACTGTACTGCACAAGCCAGATGGGGTAGGTCTAACCAGCTGGCCTATGTGCTAATTACCTTGGCAAGCAATCAAAAGAGTTTCATAACACAACATAAAATCTAAGGACTACAAGGGTCCTATTGGTCCATCTTGTCTGCTCCATCCACTAAACTAAAGAAACTTAAAAAACTTTCAGAGCCAGTCCTTATCATTTAAGTAATTATCAAGCTGTTCCTTAAACTCCCTCAAATTTACCACATTCACCACACCTAAAGGCAACCCATTCCAAAGACTACAACCTTGCTAGAAAAGTAAAACTGTCAAAACTGAAGATATCTCCTACTTTGCCTATATTTATACATTTGTGTCTTCTAGTCCTACCATTCTCACCATTAAGTATGAAAAAACGATAATGCACCAACATTTTCAATTTTCTTAACAATCTCAAACACCTCAATCAAATTCCCATTTACTCTTCTTTTTTCAAGAGAAAACAGTTTCAGAGATTTTACTTGTCCTTGAATGACAACCTTTTCATTCCAGGTATCATCCTAGTAGCCCTCCTTTGAACCCTAACAAACAATTCAATGTTCTTCCTAAGGTAAGGAACCCAAGATTGAACACAATATTCCAAATAAGACCTAACCAGTGACCTATACAATGAAATAATAACCTGTTTAGACCAGGCCTCGACAAATCCCGAGTACAAGATCACCATGGAACTAAAAATTTCATCGTGGTGCTTAGTATTTTCTCTCATTTTATTCATTCATAGGGCTGTACTAAATAAAACTCAAATCTAGGGCAGTACTGGGCTCTTGGAAGTCCAGAACTATTTTCTCGTTCTTTGAGTCCTAAATTGAACTTTGTTTCTAGGATTTTAATGGCAGATCCAGCACTTCATGTTTTTTCAAGAATGAAGAGCTGCAGTTGCACAACACGTTACTAATTTCACACCATTTTGTTTTCTTCTTTCTCTCAATTCAACCATTCATTGTGAATGTTTGGACTCAGACAGGACCAAAGGCAGTTAGTTCAGGCAATACTATCAATTGGTTGTTGATATCATGTGATCGTTAGCATGCACTTATTGCTGTGAAAGTAAATAAATATACATAGCCCCCATTTCCGAGTACAAACAGTAGTGAAGTTAGGCACACCTGGCTCCTGAGTTTTTGGGCTAGCTCCTATACTTGAAAATATTTGTCGAGACCTGGTTTAGACTTTTACTCAGTACTTCAATAGATACAACATAAAATCATATTTGCTCTACCACTAGCAACAGCACACTACTTGGATGGCTTAAAGGACTGATCATCCAGAACACCAAGACCCATTTTTTCCATAATAATGTTAAGGTTATTATTAT